GGAAAGAGGGAATTAAAAACAAAGATGTCATTTCCCCCCACTACCCTCCCGTCCAAAAAAAGGACAGATCTAGCATTTTCCCTTTTTTGCTCCATTGTGCCTTGAAAATTACTTACCTGAATAGCTAAAGAACATTCAGATAATAAAATGCTTCAGCATCAACTTTTTTTTTTTTAAAAAAGATCTGCCTTAACAATAACCTGGGGCCACTGTGAATATTTTAAGCCAACAGCTGACCAGAAGAAGTTACAGGAGTACAAACTTACAGTATTCTCCTCTCTAGAAGGATAGGTCTGTTGACTAGAAATACAGTCATTTGTTGCAGGTGTGTACTTGTTCCAGCCTTAAGACTCCAGCCTATGAACATTTTTAAGCACATGGAAATCAACATGTTGCAAATGAGCAAACTTATTTGGTTCCCCCACCCCGGTCTCATTTTATAGTCTGTGCACAAAAAGTATTGGTACTTTTCAATTCACATGTTGTGAATACGTGACATCTTAGAAATAGTTTAGGTTCCTCTTTAATCTACAGGTTGGAACGGTGGTCATTAACATCAGTTTACTGGGGGACCAACTAGTGTGCCAAAATGAAGATTACTCTCACCTTTCTCTCATCTCTGCTCATCACCCATGAGAAGCAGAGACCTGCGCACTGTGCTGTTGCTGAGACACTCTGGAAACAGTGCCATCTCTACGGGGCTTTCCTCTGCATCGCGTAGTCACACCACGAAACTAAAGTGGAGATATCAGAACAGTGCTTCTCCCTAACTCTGCTTCTGAATACCTGAAGTGTATTTTAGAAGTACAAACCGGGTCCAGAAGAAAAACCCCGGAACAGAGGGGCTGTACTTTGGCAAAAGTACTAAGTTTAAATTTCTAATTACAGTGGAAAGTAGGCATCAGTTCATACATACCCACACAGCTTGTACCAGGCAAGGAGTCTCACTTCGTTTAGATATGGCCACCATGTTAAAAATGCCTGTTGAAGTGCATGTGAGGCTTTAAATCTAAGCTTGAGATTTGATCCAGCCTTTATCACCTGCCTAAAGTCCCCACTGAAGCCTCACGAGTATGAGGTAAGGAAGTAGTGCCAGACCACCATATGAGACACTGTTAAGAGACATCAAAACGAGAATTACTCTCCTTACTCTCTCTAAACAATGTTTTGTTTGAAAACATAAGTTCCAGAGTAAGACAATACTAGGGTATCTTCCAGATTCACATACTGGCATTGGTTATGAATTATACCATGTTTTGAACATATAAAACACTGCTTACAATTTCGGTATTCATTTTTTATTTAAAACCCAGAAGTTTAGCTTACTCAAATTTGACCTTAGGAAGTTGTCTGTTTCCCTGCAGCACTGATGCCACAGGAACAAGACTAACTAATCTTACACTGTCTGAACTAGGAAGAGAAACAAACAGCTTCCTCTAAAACTAGCTAACAGAAAAGGGAACTGATTTGTAGTCTTAAGTTCACAGATGTATTCCCATTACTTGGAACAGTAATTGCTATCAAAGAAATTCACCTTAACACAAATGTACTAGACTGAAGATGAGAACGTTAAGTTCCTACTTTATTTTGGAGGTGCTAAGAGAGAAGTATGTCAGATTCAGGGCTGGTCTCAACCTAAGTATCAGAATCTTAAATCATGTTTAAGTTTACACACAAGGCAAGAAAAAAACCACCACCACCACCTGATGCCTGGAATCTGAAAAAAAAAAAAACCCACCCAAACACCATACAAATCTCTAACCTGGTAAGCTTCATTTTGTTTTTCTGGGAAAGAAAAAAGGGACTGTTTATGTTAAACACCACATTCCCCTTCATCAAAGTGGCTACACTTCTCTTCCCAGGAACTCCCGCAAACCTTCCCCCACCCTTCTTTCACACATGACTAATAAGGACACTGGATTATTATCTCAATAGCGGATGAAGTCCACACTTCTGTTCACATCAATTCCTGGTGGCATGCCTTTCCCTGCTCCCTCTTTATTTCACCAGCAGTACCAACACTACACCTTTCCACCCAAGGTGGCAAAAGGGAGTCCAGTGCCCACCCATAATGAGTTTGTGTGTAGCGCAGAAGCACAGAGATGCCAGGCAATTTGTTTATGTCAAAAAGAATAAATATTTAAATTATAAATGCCTTTCTCTTAACATGGAATATTAGATATGTCAAGATGTTCACAGCACCAGTTTGCAACAAGGTCTGGGAGAGGGTCATTTAAATCTGCAAACTTAAAAGTATATTCTCAAAAAGAAAATCTATATACCTTTGTTTATCAAAGAAAAATTTCCATTGTAATACAAGTGTTTAATTACGATTTGTATGTTAATTACTTTTACAAAAAATTGACTTTATGAAGAAAGGGTTCAACACATTCTTCCCTCGAGGTGTAGTCTACCTTTTGCCAGCATTGTTGCATACATTTATGTAATTAAAAAAAACAAAAAGACCTTGTCTTGTTTAAACTCTTAGTCTGGTGGTGCACTCTGAACACTTTTTTTTAAAGTATCTGTAAAGATGGACAGTGAGTTTCTCCTCCTATAACAAGCTTCACTGCTATGTAAAGCTCCTTCCAGCCACTGCTTTTGTTTGGGTCTCAAGACACTCCAGAAAAGCATCAGTGATACCGTGTTTCACGACACTTCTTGCATTGTTTTAATTCCAAATGTATACAAATGAAGTCATTTTAATCCTATAAATAATTTATTTTTAAAAAATTGTGCTGTTAACCCCTTTGCAGGGCAACGAGCTATGTGAAAAGTACAAAACTTTTTGTCAAATGTGATACTGAGAGTGCTTTTGACATAGTTCATTTGTTTATCATCTCAATTTATATATACTGCGCAACGGGCAAGGCTAGAATCCATGAACCAAGCTGCAAAGATCTCAAGCTAAGTAAGGCGGAGAGAGACTTGAGAAACAAGAGAAGGAAATACTTTCCTATCCAATGTATACTCTTCAGACTAAAGCACTCTTTCTATCAAGCCTTCTAAACTGTTAAATAAAGTGTTCCAAACAAGCATTTAAACTTCATTACACAGAAGAGCAACAAGAACAGTAGCCTGCCAGACCAAAAGGCAGGAGGGAAAAATATATATACTGAGTTCAATGGTTAGCCTGAATGTAGCACAGTTCTTCACAACCGATGAGGGGGGTAATTTCAACACGGTGTCCAACAATGTTCTAACGACGTGCTTCATCTCGACTGGTTACTATGAAGCAAGGTGGTAAATGTTTGGCCCCAACTGGGCTTCAGAAATGGTTCTTTTTCATGACGAGCATGTCTGTCCAGCTATCAATCATGTTTGTTTGCACCAAATCCCAAGCCATTTAAAATACGACTAATTAAGTTAAACTGAAGTCGTCTGCTCCAAATTCGCCATCAACTATCCATGCTACTGCATTCCTCTGAGCAAAAACAAAAACATAAGAGAAAGAAATCACACCTTGAAGATCTTAATAGTTAATATTTCTATTATAAGGTCATTAATACAGTGTATTTACATAACTTTTACTGAACTTATAGTATAAAAGCCATTAACTAATGTAACTAAATTCCATGCTAAAATTTACTTGTTTTAGATATCATTATTCATATTAATTTAGGGATTAATTTAGCACGTTAGGTGTCGGTGTACAAAAAGCATCTCTTCCAAAAAGACGTAACACATTTGCATTCCAGTTCCAGGGGAGTGTGCCAATTACAGCCGTCTGTCATCCCTTTAAGATTCTTAAGTTGTTAGACATTATTCCGTGCACCTACGCCTCTTGTGGAAGCACTACTGTGAGAAATCCAGTTTTTATTGTTTTGATTTTTATGGTCTTTACTAGCTCATTTTATGGAGGTACTACGAAAAAGTGAGCAAGCAGCTAAATAGAGACAAACAAACAAACAAAACCACAAGTCAAACCAACTGGAGGATAGGCTCTGAGCCCTTATGGGTGCATTCAAGGTGTTACAAACAGGCAATTGGCCAGGCTGGTCCACCTAGTCCAACAGTAGAAGCAGATGCGTCAGAAAGCACAGGAACAGGGAGAGGAGGTAATTCTTCCTCCTAAAATCGTTTCCAACTGTCAGCCATTTTCACCTAAGGGACATTCCGAACTAGAGGTGTTTATTTATCTAGTAGCATTCAATGGATTTCTCTTTTATTTACTTTGTCCGGGTTCCCCTTGAACTCGCATCCACACCTAGTACCCACTAGGTCCTGTGGCAGTGGGACATACTGTATTTCATTTTAATGTCTACTGTAACTTTTTACCACAAGGTTGAATGTGTAATGACAGAAGCCTATAGACAACAGAACAACCCCTCAGCAGTCATCTTGTTAACAATTCCGGGGGCGGGGGGGGGCGGGAGATAAGAAGGGTTGGGAACAAGTGTGCATTTTGGCAGTGAAAAAAGTTGCATTGTCCCTCTCTCCTGGACACAGATGACTGCTGATGGCTAGGAAAGAATCAATTGTGTACAGATTTTACAGTGGGAATCTTCACTCTCCAGACTTTGGAGATTCCTTTGGTAAGCACTGTAATACCATTACTCAATTTGCAGTGTAGTCAGAATGCATTATTTAAATTTTAATAACATTGTATGTTACTGAACCTCAAGCTTTGGAGGAAAGATTTAAGAAGTCTATGTAAATAAGTTAATATAATCCTGAGGCCTTAGTGACACCACAGTTTTCTATAGGGCCATGTCAGAAATTTGACTATCATTTTAGAAATATCAGTTGTTTCCTTTTTATTCCACAAACATAAATAACTTGGATAAAAATCAACAGCCATATATAAACAAACAGTAACTTCTTTTTTAATAAAAGTAATGATTCTAACCCAAGAGTTAGAAGCATTTATTTCTATCCTATTTATGGTAAAGAAAATCCACTGAACTAACCACCTTTGATGGAAGCTTTTAGTGATGAGAAGACACAGACAAACACTCTGTTTTTTACCTTCAATATCCTGGTTGTCTACGAAAGGGGCTGGTCCCCATATTCTAACAGTGCCATCGTCAGAGGCGCTGGCCATCATGGATGGAATCTGCGGGTTCCAGCTCACACAATTAACAGTACGTGTGTGCCCTGTCAGCTCCGCAATTGGCAGCTCACTGCGCTTGTGCCAAATATATACTTTGTGATCTAAATAAAATACACATTTTAAAAAAAGCATAATGAGAAACATTGTTCTGCACAGACCGATTTGTCGTATCAAACAGCACTTCCACACAAGCTCTCAGCAACTAAAAAGCCCATTAATGTTGTAAAAACCTATGTCTAAAACCCTTGTCTGTTGAACGTGCAATAGCACTAAAAGCTTCTTCTTCTGAAAGTGATCAAAAGAACACAGGGATGGGTAAAGCTGTCCATTAAGAGGCACATTCCCTTTTAAGACTTGCAAGTCTAGTACACTTGGTATTTGAAGAAAAACATTTGACTACAATGTAAGCAAGCCAACACATGGCTAAAGAGAGGAAACCAAGCTACTCTTGAAGATACAGAATTGTAATCTTATTCAAAAGGAAGTCTTGCAGGTTTTTTTTCCTTAAACAATTGTATTTACAGATTAGTATATGCATTATAAAATTATGAGTACCAAGGCAGAATGTTTACAACCACCTCCTGCTGGTTAAGTACTACATCAGATCACAGCTCTATAGTTTATGAAATAGATCTTAAGACCTAAAACATTCTAATGAAAGTACTAACAGAACAAGTGAGAGCAACAAAGCTTAATGTCTCAAATTGTGAGCTATTACTGTCTTTGATAAGAATTAATTTTTGTGTGGTAAAGATATTAATTTGTACATATTAAAGCAGATGCAGTAACCACCCTACAGATCTTATTTTGTGACAGGAAGCTTTTAATTACTTCTAGCAACATGCTAGAAATAGAATAGTGAACTAGTTAGTCCACTGCAATTTTTAGAGAAATGTTACTGCTTTATGACCAACCATATTTAAGAATAAATGACTACAGTTGTTTTGGTTTGGATGGGTTTTTGTTTGGTTGGTTTTGGGCTTTTTTTGGGTTTTTTTTCCCCAACTGTAGACTAGCAGCTTTTAACAAACCCATGAGTTGACCTCTCTAGGAATGTCTTTGGAATATCCCAAACAGAGCTATACAAACTGAACAAGTACGTATGACTAGTATTACACAAGAGCCTAGTATTTAGGTCTAGCATATCAAATGAAAGTATTTTAACCTATTTGAAAGCTTTAAATGTGATGTCATTCTGAAGGATTAGCAAACGAACCAATCTTCCTCTATTTCTCCTCCCAACCCCTTTCAAAACAAACTTGCTCTCTGACCTACCTGCTAGAATAGCATCATGGAACCGTGTCATAACTCAATTGTCTTCTGCTGAATCAGCTCATTCGAGTACACCACCTTTATATATACTTATATTGATGCAAGTGTTCTGGTTGTGTTTACATTCCACTTACGATTTCAAGAGACTACATATCCACGCTATTCATCAAACAACACAATTCACACTCTGCTTAAACACTGGACACGCAAGCCTCTGCTGTCTGGGAGAATCAAAGCCTAAACACAAACCAGTATTTCGGTGCTTGTCAGAATGCCTGTATTTTGTTTTGGAAAAAACAAGTTAGCTAGATTAAGGCAGCAGTCAATTTCCCTCTCAGAAAGAGACCTCCATTTTCTTCTGATTGATGCAAATGTTAGAAGAAAGCCTACCTAGCTGATAACATACCTTAAGAGGTTATGACAATGTAACCAATGTATTACTACTTTTTTTTTTAAAAATGGCTGTGACAATGTGATCTGTTATTTTTGCTTTGTTTGCTTGTTTTTTAAGATAGACTTTCTCAGTAGCCACATTTGCAACAATTCAGCACAAAGAGGCAACAGCTTCAGACAGTCCAAATATAAATAGGGTGCCATCAGTTTCAAGTACTGCTTCGTAGTTTTTAAACAATGAAGATAATAAGTAATAAATAAATGGGGGGGAGGGGGCGGGGAGAGAGGAAGGACTGGTGCACCGTAGTATCTACACCTACACAACCACATCAGTACGGCTAAACACAAGTTCTGAACTTTTGGGTACTTGGGTTCCAAACCAAGAACCTTGTTCAACCATGAAAACGTTCACACTGGATTGAAGGTGCTGTCCTTCAGTCATTATATTCCCCCCTGGGTCTGACCAGAGGGTGACATTTGATTTTCCTTTAGACATATTAGGTGTTTTCCAGCAAAGGACAGTAGTAATGTCCTAGCCAACCTTACTTCCTACCAGCTGTGAGTTACATAGTACTAACAGTGATTGCTTACATATTCCAAGTCTAATTCTTAGCCCTGCATAGGCTTGATCTTAAGGGACCTCCATGGGATGTGATGGCACTACATCAGTGACAGAACTGAACCAATTCAACGTATAAACCATTAACTAATTTCTATTCTTGTCACAGACAGTTGCATATACCACATAGCCTTTGATCATCAAGAAACCCTACCAGACTATGTCAACAACTGCTTAATTTGTGACTTTGCTTAATTTGAGACTACTCCTTCCGTAATTAAGCTGACTACTCTATTGAAATCAAAATAACCTCACCACACCTATATCTTCAACAGGCAAATGAAGCTGCTACTCTCTAGAAATATTTTTGATTCAAACCATAAGCTTAAGTATCATACCACAAAAAGAAAAAGCCGCAAGAACACCCCACCCACTTCTAATTAAAACTGTGCAGATGCTTTTGCTTTAGAGGAGCAATATGAAAGTTTCATTAATGCTTTCTACTACTACCAATCTCTCAAGAGGTTCTGCTAGCACACAATTATTTTTTGAAGTATGCCCCAATCTCAGTGCTCCTCAGACTTACTTAATAAACCAGTTGCTGGCTTTTATAGATGACAGCTGCTAACAACAGCATTATAAAATTAAGGTATCAGAAGGATACACTGTTCCAGTTTTCTGCACAAAAGGGAATGATGTTACCTTCGCTGCCACTCGCGATGAAATCTTCATTATGACCTCCAAAACATGAGTGAATTGTGTAAAATCCTTGTGTAACACCTTGATACTTTCTCACTAAAACTCTGTCTTGTAAGTCCCATAAGTGAACTCCCTGGGAAGGAGTAGTATAAAGAAAGTTATTTTATCATTAAACATTATTCATTGCATTCTTTTAAAACACTAAAAAAAAATTAAACCTGACAAAAGTATGTTACTCAAGCCAATTTCAGTACTGTTACTAGATTAAGAGTGTAAAGATATACCAAATTACTACATTAAACTTCCAGTCTACGGTCCCTCCCATTTGGAAAGCTCCAATTCGTATCCAAGGTTCCAAAAGTAGAAATAAATAAATAAAATCTAATTCTCATGCCCCCAGGCATGTCAGCATGCCACAATTATTGCTGTACCTGGCTTCTCAATGCAACAGCCGGATATCAACAATTGATAGTACATATTTCATAGTATGAAACTCTGACTATAAATCAGTCAAAAAATAAGTCTCAAGAATGAGACTGCCTTCTCAGAGAACGCCATGCATTCTATCTTTGTGAATATTAAGGCCTTCATATTACAGGAAATACAACTGGTTAGTGTCAAACATTCCAATATATATCAAAATATTTAAAAACAGGTAGCAGTTGCAAGCAGATTTATTTGCATTTCCATTTATCATTACCAACTCACCTGAGTTGCTACATTTAACAAAGCTAAACGGCCATTTTTTGAAATAGTAAACGACATAATAGGGTGATCTTCTTGTACTCTGAAATGATAAGACAGATTATTAAGAGTACACTTAACCAAACAAGGATGCAACACCAAGACAAAAGACATGTTCTGTCTCTGCAATGTTATCAGGTAAAGACAGTTCTGAATTTGAAATTAGGCATGCCTCTATGTCAGTATAAGCCAAGTCTGCAATAGTTTGCTTATACGTATGACAAATCCCAAGACCAAAACGGACTGAGATCCAACTCCTAACTTCAAGGCAGGATCTACTAAAATTTGCCAGGAATTGAGAAGACAACTCTTGGTGACAGAAATGTCAAAACAGCCACAAGAAACCTATTCCAGTGCTTAAGAAGTTATTTCTAATACTTGATCTAATGCTCCTTGCTGCAATTGGAACTCACTAATTTTGTCACGTTATTCTCCTCTTCTTTTTAATACTGAGAGCATTTTAATAACTTATTTCCCATGCTGCCCCATAAACCCTTCCTCAATCTGCTTCCAACATGAAGAACCAACAATTCGAAGCCAAAGAAAGAGGTAGTTACATGTTCCTGTCTGTAAGATCCTCAAAGTTATAACCCCGAATTCGCTGGTGTGTGTCCGATGCTAGAACAGTTTTTCCATCACTCAAGCACCAAAGGCATTGTACTCTCACCCCTTCCCAGGAGTCAAGGAGATTACCATCTAAATCCTGATCAGAAGGAAAAAAAAAAAAAACACACACTTTTAGTTTTAGTCTCATCTCTGTGGAGTTGTGACACAAGTATCTTTTTCACCTTCTGTCCAGACAACTGCTACAGAAATCAGTTTTACCCTGTAAAAGATAGTACTTAATGAATTAGGACTTGGTTGTCTTAACTGAGGGCTTTTGTAGGTATCTGTCCTGGAGAGCAGAGAATCCCATTCTTCACTGACTTTGTTGTGTGTGAAATGTGAAATCTACATCATGTCATGGAGCTCACCTTGGCAGTGAGTGAGGTTTGCATATTGCACTGGTATTCTGGGCACCAATTCAGATGACAAATAATCAAGAGTACAGATGAGACTGTGGACCACCATCCAAAATCAACACTATAATGTTAATGAGGGTTTCAAATTTCTCTTTACACTAAGAAAAGACAGCATGCAAAAACTAAGACAGACATAGTCAAAATTCTGTGGAATAAACAACATTTGTGGACAAAGGCTCTACTTTTTATTAGTATATTTTCTAGAGCAGCTCAGAAAAGACTCACAGCCCACAAATCCTCCTTTAGAAAGGCAAAATATGCTTGAACCCTTCTAACTGCTACATACAGAAGTGCTGCTGAAATACCAGCATTAACATATTGCTGCTTTGAGTTACAAAGGATCAGAAGTTTTAGCATACATGCATGAAAACTGAAAATACATGAACCTCAAATTTGACTGTGATAGAACTTCGATTTCTTGCTTTGTTTTCAATGGAACAGATACAGAGAACTTACACACTGATAGAACTGTCCACGCTGTCCTCCCGTTACAAAACGCTTCCCATCAGGATTCCAGGCCACGCTTGTTAAACTGTCTTCATGAGATTGGCTCATCTTTGTCCTCAGCTCTCCAGTCTGGAAAATAAACAAAGGCAGCAAGGCCTCATACCAGAACCCTTTCCCAAAAAGGCATCGATGATTTTATCTGACATGCATAGTGTTTGGAAGTGCACGTTTCAAAATATTTATTAAAAAGTAACACAAACATATGAGTAATGCAATAAAGAGGCAGAACTACTTCAGCATCTCCAGTGACCCTGGAATAGAATTGGGACAATTTCTTTTGTCCCTACATAAGGAGAGACAGTGTGTCAGGCAACTGGAAGATTATGAGTAAAGAAAGGAATTAAAAGTTGGAAGAACATGTAAGAGAAAGAAGCAATATGAAATGAAAAAAGAAAACCCAAACATGAAAAGCAAGGAGGCAGGAAGAGACTAAAAGAAAATAGAGATGACAAAATACATTTTAGCAAAATGTTGGGAGTATCAGAGTATTTAGAACATCTTCCTCCCTAAGCTGGAGCTCTCCATGCCAACATTTATCTTTCATCCCTAGCTTGTAATACTACTGTTTCACAAGACAGAGTGTCAATGAGTGACTTACCATTGTCAAAACAATAAGGGCTTCTCTCTATTCCTTTGTGCCAGCTCTAGTGCTCTTCACCGAGCCAATTTAGTCAGTTAAACAGAAGAAAAATATTCCAAGGGTGAAAAAGGGGAACAATTTTGTTTTGAACTAAATTAGTTCAGAATACAAGGCAGCACAAGAAAGACTACATGGCCCGTAACTAAGACAGAGGAAGCTTTGAAACCAACTCAAGTGCCCATAAAAGTCAACAGCAGAAAAGGATTTTCAAATTCATGGAGGAAACTGCAAAATGACCAAGTGTCTGACTGAAAGATGAAGTTCTGAAATCATAAATTTAAGCCTCTGTGGATCTTCCACTAACATCACTGGGAGGGTTACACAAAGTAAAAATAGCTTGTATCTTACTTTTGCTACTTGTTAAAATCTTCAGTGAACAAACTACTCCTCTTGTACAATAATTCTGCCCTCTGTTTCTCTCAATTGATTTACTGTTCTTCTCTTCAGTAGCTCCCTAAGGTCCTATGGATTTACGCCACTCCTTCTCAGAAATGATCAATAACCAGATACACTACAACTGCTGCACAGTCCCAGGCAATTAGACTTGAACTTTAAGTTCTGTACAAACTGAGTACAGGATTTGTAGGTTGCAATAGTCATTTTTTCCAACTTGAGGCTGAGCAGGAAGAGCAGCGTCTCTTCTTTACACTCACACCTTTGCACAACAAATTTGTAGAAATTACTTCTTTCATGCTCAACGTATTTAGGTATGGAAACAAAAGCAGTAGTCTGACCACAACATCTTATTTTTTGATCTTAGCCACCACTTACTTGTACATTCCAGAGCCAAAGCTCAGAACAATCATCTGGGCCACAGGCAACAAGATAGTTGTCATCTGGACTCCAAGCAATATAAGAGACACCATATGCATGACCTTCTAACGTCTTAAGTAGTTTTAGCTGATGAGTATCCTGAAACAAGAGAGATTCTGTTGAGACAGTGCAAATGAACTCCTACTGGATACACCATATATGTTAAATCTAAGTGCAGCATGGCAAGTTTGCTTGATGCAATGTAGCACCTGCATTTTACAAGACACATGAATAGGTTCCTACTGGAAAAGGAGTTGCTAGTTTACAGAGTAGGACCATAAAATGAAAATGTCTAAGTTCCATGTGCAAAACAAGAACACTTGCAGGTATTTTTGTTCTAGTCTTCTGTGATTCTAAGTGTGGAACTCACAAAATACCACTGTGTACAGAGTCATACATTACATTTTTTTTTAGTATAGAAGATTTCTGTAGTGTCAAGTCTCTCCACATTTACTGGAACACAAAAGTACTACTATCCGTATTTTACAGAATTAAGTTACTTTCTTAAAAGATATGCTGGAAGCCTGTAACAGTTAAACAGAAAACTAAAACCTTCCTGTACGCTGAGAAGCAAAAACCTCCAAGCTTCAACATTTTTATAAACTTGAGTGTACCTTGTGTGCTGCTCAAGAAAAGTTTTACAGAAAGATATTTTTAAAAGCTTCCTTGAGAGGTGTTCTTATTTCAGAAGTGTTGCCTATAGCAAGCTGTTGCATCTTTTCTGCCAGATTTAGTGAATGAAGCATACTTCGCTTCACGCAGAGTCTCTTGTATCACCTTTATGCTACAACTGTTCTACTGCTGCCTTGTCAGAGGAACTTGACTTTCAAGTAGCTTATCAAAATAAATAGCACAGCTAGATACTGTGAAACAACCATACACTGGCTGCCTAAATACAGAAACACTCAATACAGTATCAGCACTGACTCCTGACAACAACACACATACACAGAAAGTAGGAAAAGTAGAAAGTGTTACACTGTTTATAATAATTTTTGTGAAGCCTCTTGGAAAAGGGCAAGTGGATTTTCCTCCCTCCCCTCCATTTTTACCTCCCCCTCCCACCCCTTTCTGCATGGGGGATGTTTATACCTCCTACTTCTTTTTGAAGAGTGACTCATTTGAAAATTTAGCTTGATTTCTCAAATTGTCCTTCTCTTTCTTTTGTTTTAGTATTAAGCAGCAGAGCACCTCTTGATTCTAAAGAGAAAGAACATGGTCAGAGGAACAGAGTGACATGAAGAACTGTTTCCTGGGATCAGCTGCAAGGGATTTGGTAACTCTCAGCCAGCCTGCAGCTTTGATGGTTCTGCTAACTACAAAAGCTCAATTCCTCAGAAGAAAGTGGGCTAAGAATCACCGTCAAAGCACAAAGAAAATGGGGCAAATGAATGGACTTCCTCAAGTTCACTTTTCCATTGTAATTATTATTCCTGGTCCTCATTAGACACTGCTGTGGCTGTAGCTAAAGTGATCTGCAAGGAAACTAAGTCATGTCTGACATCTCACATCCTGGAGCTTGCCTGTAACCAATGTGTTTCTTTTTTTGTCAGAATTAAAGTAGCCTGTCACTTCTGCATCACATTTGAGACTCATGAGGAGCAAAATGCATAGGATATTCCTCTTCTAATGATAGGACTTTGTGGCTGTTACTAATCTCTCACATCTCATACTTTTCTCCGAATAGAGCAAAACACGGTATAGCAGTTTTGAAACAGCAATCAATGCTATTTCAGGCAAACATCCCCAAATTTAGTCAATCTGCTTCCCACCCACCACCAAAAGAAATCTCAGCACTTCTATCCTTTACATAGCCTCCCAGATTTGTTATGTAAATGAAACAACTATTCAGGTATCAAGTTAAGTCTGCAGTAGTTGAGCTCCTCGGCTGAAAAGCCAAAAACATGTCAACAGTTTTTAGAAAGTGGAGGAAAAAAGAAAAGGAAGGTTTCTGTAAGGAACAAGTCTTCTATCAAAGAAGATGCAATGCCAGACAAGGTGATGCACCTACTCTGCTTATCCTTTGTACTCTACAGATTCTGCCACACTTAGTAACAGTCAACTAATGCATTCCACACACAAAGCTAGTTCACTCAAGACATTATTTAATGAAAATGAAAACAGAAGCATGGGTTAAGACACCTTAAACATGTTGTTGGGTCTTAGAAAAGAAACAAGAAATTCATGGTATGAAATGAAGAAAACACATGGAAGCGGTGTCATTACACTTCAAGAGGGATGACGAAGAAAAGAAAGGGAGAAATGAAGGATTCTCACACACATGGAAGTGTGCGGAAAAAGAATACTGTTCATTTAAAAGTGCTCTCCCATCACTTGCCCAGACAGAGTTGGATGGATGTTTCCCTGTACTTTATACATACAGATTAGAACAACTGTAAATACCTCAAGCCTTGAAAAACCTGATTAAACTTATGGGTCAAAAGACATTGTCAACTGCTACAGGAAGTGTGTGAAGCATGCTCTGGCAAATATGAAAATGAACCATTTGAATTACATGGCCTAAATTTAGTTAGGTATCCATCTCCTTGAAATGGTTTCAATTTTTTTTTTTTTTTTTAAAGTACTCAAATACAGAAGATAAAACTCTACAAAGCTCCTTTCCCACTAACTATTTGTTAGAGATTTTGTTCCTTTAGCAACCCTTGGCCAAAAGGGTTAGTGTAAAACACTCACAAAACATTGCTTTGGTTTGATTAATTAGATATTAGCTAACAATTCACTATAAAATGTGCTAATCAAGATGTTGGGTATTAAAACCCATCAATAGAAAAGGAAGATGTGCCTCTGCAACGAAGTGACAAATCAACAGCAAAAACATTTGATCCTTAATTTACTTAGAATTACTCTGTTAAAAAACAAAACAAAACAAAAAATACAGATCATTTCCTAAATAAATTACAGAAGTCAACTGCTACACATCTCTTGGCCCAGAGCACACTGACTCCAGTAACAAACCAACCACAATGGTTCTATGCCTGAAAAACCCACAGCACTTGCTGTTACTTCAGGGGCTTTATAACAACTATGCGCATGGAAAAGGGTTTCAAGTTCTCCCATCTTCTTAATAACAAAAAGGACTCAAGTTATATGGCTTCCTAACCTGCAGTGGGAGGAGAGGATTAAGTTCAGCTCTCAAATCCTACTGAAAGCCAGTACAGAACCACAAAAACCTTTCATCTTCCACTCAAGTACACCAGTTTGCAGTTAAAAACTGTAAGAATCTTATTTCTGATAGCTCTTTACAAGCATTAACAACTTCAAATATTGTGTGCATATGTTCAAGTTTATTTGCAGTTTTAAAATGTTGTGAAACACATGGACATATTTTCACATCACTTCTACCAGTCAATTAAAACAGTCTTAGAATCACCACTTAAACTTTTTATTTATGTAAGAATAGATATGGGTAGGAAAGATAAATCTTGTAGCTGAAGGATATTTCATAAGAGGAACAGTGCCACATGTTAGTATCAAAACCTAAAACCGCAATCTGCAAGAAAATGGCTGGGTATACTTCCATGTGTCAGTGGATTCTGACAAGTGTTTGAACCTTCATGTCACGGCAAGGCAAATCTTACATGAAGTGGTATACTGATGCAACTTCAGTTTAGCACATACCATTTTATTACTCAGAAATAGAGTAACAAATAGTGAAATGGATTGAGCATTTAAATCCAAGCATACTAGTAGTAACAGGATAACGAGAAAAGGGTTAGTCACCTACATAGGTCAGAAGAACTCTTGCTAAGAGTGATTTAGAATGGTTCCTCACTGCCATGCTCTTTCTGCTCTCACACTATGCTTCAAGGCCTTCAAGCTGAGAAGGCTTCCTTCCCTCAAAGGGAAGGAAGAAGGCTTCTCCTTCCTTCCCTTGGCTGGAACCAGCAGGCTCTACACAAAGTTCCTGCCCCCAAGCAGCCTGTTGGTGTCAGGTTTTCAAGTGTCCTCCTTTGCTAACTTACACTGACTATGTTCTTCAGTCTTTTACATCCTAGAGAAATACCCTAGTCAGCACGCTACAGTACATGTTAGCTTGTCCTACAAAAAAAAAAAAAAAAAAATCAAACCACCCTAGCAAGTGGAGAGGGAAGGGAAAGACAAGTCATACACATTTTAACACGTTACACACTTACTGGATCAACCTGCCATATAATAACAGTTGTGTCCTTAGATCCTGTTGCTAGTTTAGTGCCATCATTGGAGAATTTACAGAACCACACTTCATTACAGTGCTCCGTTAGTATCTGCTGTGTATAGCATGGGAACTGTTTCCTGGGAAAAGAAAGGGATGTATTCGCAGATTAATAAGAAAGCAGTAAGAGATTTTTTTTGTAAATCAAGCTAGTAAAAGCTAAACCAAAAACTTATTTAAATGCAAAACCAGACAACTTAGACAATTCCTCTATTAACAGCTGCTTCAAGAAAGTACAGAATGAAGTGTCTTATCTGGTAAAAGGCTCACACCACCAAGTCATCATAAATAATTGTAGGAACTTAGAACTATTCTCATTCTACTTACATCATTTGTTATGCTTTCATATAACTTGGAATAAACCTGACCTCATTAGGAGCATAACAGCTTACTACTATACACTTCTATTATGTATAGAAAATAGTGGAGTCCAAACCGCTTTGAACCCTACGTTGTGCAATGTTTTATTTACATGTGAGGTTTTTGTAAGTACCTAACTCCCTTAGCTTTATCTTGCTTAATCCTTAGAAGTGATTCTTACATAGCAGTTGAGTAAAAGAATAGTCTCATTGCAAGATCACATTCAAGAGAGAAACAAGTTAGGTGTTTCTTTGCCTTAATTTTGTGTAATTTTTCACTTTCTTTGTAGAGTACCACACACAATAGCTGAACATAACTAACATGTTACCATTATGAGCTTTCAACTTGAACTCTTTTCCCTCACAAAAATCTATGTTATTTTGTAAAACATTAAGTGTTTATCAACCAAGATATTATATGATAAACTACTGAAGGAGAAGAGTCAAACACTTCTCTAGAGCTAATATTTAATCTTCTAGTTACACACTGAGGAAAATCTAACAGTCAAAATATGAGGAAAATCTAACAGTCAAAATAATTAAGTTAGGTAAGAACTGGAGACAAGTTTTATTTTATTTACAGCTTGCCCACTGTATAAGAACTTGAGAGCTAAGCTAAAATAAATGTAGGCTTTTACAGCAGACTGCTTTTATAAGTAATACTGCAGTAACTACAAGTTCATTGTTCAGACGCACTAAAAGGCAGTCTCTAACCACGGACATTTTTTCTTGAACTGCGGACATCCTGAAGTGGTTTAGTCTTATGTTAAGCTTTTATGGTGCTCAGTACAACAGGGCAACACAACTCTAATGAGACACAACAGTACTAATGCAACAACAACAGTCTCTGTGAATGTACAGTTGTACTTATCACTGGAGATAAACTGGCCTAAAAAAAACCCCTCTACTTCCTTTAAATTTGTGTTTAAAAATACAGTTTGGTGGTAGTTTTTCAGGTGTCTGTCAGCCTGGCTCCTTCTTACCAGAAGCTAGAAAGAGTTCTGCTTCATAGAGGGTCTACATCCTCTCAATCAATTTTCTTTTACTAGAAGATGCTTCCTAAAGCATCAAGCAGCTTAAAGACTTCCTTAAACACTATCAAGCAGCACTAAACAACCATATAACCCTCACTCCTGTCTTATGGTAGAGGAGGATAAACAAAACGTACCTATACATATCTGTAGTTGGCTTCCTTGGGAATATCTACTTACTTGTTCATAGAGAACACAGGTCTGTTCTGCTCCTGCTTTAAGCTGACAAGGAGCTGTCTAGTTGCCACTAGAACACCACTGAGCCCAAGGTAAAAAGCCCCACCCATGAAAGAAGATTTTTTTTCCTTGAAGTCTACATGGACACTACAGGAAGAGCATTTCGTTATTTTCGTTATTATTTAGCCATATTGTAATAAGTTAATGTTTTTCCTCGGAGCAGCAATTTGCTCTAGAAGGTGAAAGAGTCTTTATCCATAACTCATACAAAGTACAAGGGGCACACTGTGTCCCGGGAAAGCCTTTTCAGCGTATTTAAAAAAAAAGCTCTGTAGAACAATAGCGCTTGTATTTTAAAACTTAAGAAAAGCAGCCAAGGTTTTGTAGACACGAAGAGCAAGCAGTATAATGCTGGAGTACACAATTTTCATAGTAAGGTGGCCTTTGGGTTCCTGAAAATGGTAACAGGCACAGTTGATACAGCTGCTGCAGACACATCCCAATATTGAATTATGTTATTCACAATCCAGTCAGATCAGAGTACTCTCAGAAGAAGTTCTCTTCACCTAACTAATGAAACATACAATCCAACAAGTTGACTTCACAGATAGCAAAGCATATATTAAATAAACCTTCTGCAGAAGGAGATAGCAGCAGTCTCGAAACAAGAAACCAAAACCAAATGTCTAACAGCTTCTGGTTTTGGTAATTAGATATTAATTGTAGCTCGAAGTTTTTGTGGTTTTTTTGGTTTGTTTTTTTTTTTTCCATTTTTGAAGTGCTTCATTACAAATTGTTCTGTTCAGCACAACACACTTGAATCATGTTGTTCACATACTGAAATAAAGTATCTAATAAAGTTCTGTTGCTGTATTTACAGAAGTTCAAAATTCTAAATAAAACAAAAAGCTACTTTTTTTTAATTCCCCGTACCTACAATGGAAGATTTATTCCTCAACTTCCACAATGGCTCTTTTTCAAAAATGCTACAGCAATCTAGTACCTAGAAAGCAGCAGCATTCAGCTCCCATTTGAGTTTTACTGTTGGTTTGTAAACTAAGACTAAAGTTTATTTACATGTAGGCAAGACAAAAGAACTCAAGGAGGGGGGATGACAGACCAAACAAAACACTCAACTAGTGTGAAGGCTCTTAAAACCAGAAGTGACCACCCCCAAGAGCATCAATTCTCCATCATCAAAATCTCAGACACAATAAGATGAAACCTCTCACCTTCACTCTCAGCAGTTTCTCTCTCTTGTCTCTCACTTTTATGAAGTGATTAAGTTTTAGTTAAACATTTTACCTAGTAGTGCAATTCAAGCATGCTTGATCAAAATACTGCCAGAAGTTCAAAACAGATTAGTTCCAACTAAAAAAGGGAAAGTTGTCAGTGTTCTATCATTTAAGTAGTACAGAACTTAAATTGTCTAAGCTATTAGATTACTGTTACTTCTGTCAGTTTAATCAAAATTTGGCTTCCACTGTCTTTAACTCACCTCATTATGCCCAAGCATGGCAGCATGTACAGCGCACCACATACTGATCTCAGACCCCTGCAACAGGTAGGTACAATAGGTTGAGTTGAGGACAGAATGGAAGCCTTTATTTTGAAGTGGGGTTTTTTTGGAATTAAAGTAGTCATGAGTATGTATGTATACATACCAAATACACAAGCTTAGGAAGTACCACATTAGGTAAAAAAAAACCAGAACACCAGAAACTATGGTCAAACTTACGTCAGCAAACAGATTGAGATGGCTGAAATTCAAGACCAGATTTGTGGCATATAGTATCTTTTATATCCGGCTTCAGCTAGTCCGACTTCAGTAAACCATGCTCTTTACTGTTGGCTTGAATGATCTTTGGGGTTTGATTAATCACATCAAACCCCTTCAGAACACCCAGTGTTATTTACGTACTTGTAGGAAGATTAAAAATTAAATCTCTATTAGTCTGATTTTAAGACTCACTTCTGAAGTAGGGAAGCCACAGTTCCAGTATCTGATAATTTCCAATAGCTCTTAAAGTGGGGAACAATCAAATTTCCATGCACACACACAAAACTGCTGCAACAATATGATACAGCAAATTGCAAGCTAGACGATAGTCTAAAAAAGTAACTTGAATACATGACGTGCCAAGGATATTAATTTTAAAACCTTAGGATGGCTACAGTGAAGTACTATAGAAGTCTGCGTCTTTAAAAACAGATCCCAAGTAACTCAAGAACCTAAGTCAAAGCAGCTGAGTTCAGGAAGTTTCTATAAGCAAGTTCATCAATACTTAACTTCCTCAGATGAGCTAACCCTAACATGAAAAAAAATCCCCTCTAAGCCCAAGCATTGGCCTGTTACATGAACACACACATAGGGTATCATATAAAGCCCCTATTTTTCTAGGTGTCCTAGCCCTCACTCCTTTATTACACCATGCACAGCAGTCTTCCATAAAAGCTACACTGAGTTTTTAGGTTCTTGGCTAAGTTCTCCTGGATGATAAAAAACCATTCAATTCAGACATTTATTATAAGCAAACATCTTTCTGCCTCATGTCTACTAGAGTATGGTATTCTGAAGATTCAGATTTTTTGTTAAAAAAAGACGTTATCCAGATAGTCGCAGAGCTAATACGTAAGTATAAGAAACATTCAATTCGTACTACCTTACAAATCTGAGAAAATAGTTCTTTATATCATTCATATTATATATTATGTAAAACATAATTTTTATGTTTTACATAATATATAATATGCACATTTCTGCTGTTTTAACCTTTGTGTTCAAAAGCACCTCACTGTCCACTATTAAAAATGGAAGCTGTGAGTTGACTTCATGAAGTATGCTTCAGTAGGCTTTCTGCATTCCAGCAAGCTTGAAGACAAAGTCTGGATAAGTAACATACTAGTGATTCTCCAGTGAAAACACACAGCAATCACATGTTGATGAACAAACAGACTGTCTGTCCAAAATTATGGGAAACAAGTGGCTAAGGATTAGCATAGTAATACATTCTAGTCATACCCATCTGATTAAAATTTTAAAGCTCCGGTCTGACCCCATTATCCCATATCCAGCTACCAAAGTCTTTTATACACACCTTCTCTACTCCCCCCGCTACTCATTTAGTGAGAAGTGTTTTATCCTAGTCAATTCCTGTTAAACCAACTCAGAATAGTTTTCATGTTCCTTTTAACAGTAGGTACAACTATACTATTTTAAAATACAAAGAAAAAGTATTGTTGCCCATTTTAAAGGTCAAAAGGGTTTCTTACCTACTACAAACATGATCTATTAGCAGCGAGACAGAATCTAGATTACTATCTAGTTTGGTATTATGATATAGGCACCGGTCCCGTTGTAGTTCCACGGCCTGACGTAGCAGGTTCTGTAAACGCCTTGGAGGAAGCATCACTGATGGGGGTAGGTACGCTTTAAAAGAGTTATTAAGAAAAACAAACAAATACATCAAAACCAAGTTACAGCTAAGTGCATATTTTCATTTGGGTGTTTTTGGAAGAGTCCTTAGTAAATAAAGCTTAAAAGCTACAGGAAAAGAGTGCACACAGCTTGTCAAATTTACAGCTCTATCTCTGTAATTAGAAGCGTGAACTTCTGGGAAGCAGAGCTGTATGCAAGGTATTTGTAGTTATAGTATATATTGTCCTGACCTACAAGCACCATTTACACAAGCTAACTCAAAACCTAGTATTTAACCAAATCTGTAAAATTATAAAACAACAGTATCAGCTGTGTTCGTTTAAGGAATTCTCTCAACACTATCAAAATAAAGAATGCCATAGGTTTTACAAATCCGGTACATAGTATTACAACAGCCACAAGAAAGAAAGGAGAAGCCATAATTCATAGCAAGGTCTGAAACCACTATAAAGCAGTACTAGTATCACCAGTGGTTATAGGCCACACTTGGCTTCAATCTCTTAGTATAGCTGGCATTTACAAAACACTCCCCTCCACCCCCAAACTGCATGTAGTATTAGTGCATGCAGCAGAGCTAAGAAATAAGAGCCCCTATTACAAACGGTTTATCAGAGACAGCAAAAGTTTAGATACAGAAGACCAAAGGGTAAAGGCACCTAAAGGCATCCCCATTAACCAAAAAATACAAAAACAACCGGCAAAGGCAGTTAAAGTCAATTCCCTGGGATACGTCATTATGAAAGATGTACTGGATTTACAGCAGTGTGAATAAATTCTAAACATTAGAACATCTTACTCTGGAGTTTGTCCAGAAGTTTAGATCTGGAAGCTGTTCCTTTCCCTTCCCACTCTGCTTTTGCACGCAAGTCTTCTGCATGGCTACACATCAGATACCTGTTTAAAAAAAGTGCACACACACCAACAGACCAAGTTTTTCTGGAACCATTCTTCTCACTTTTAAGGATGATCTATATCATAACATTCTTAATGAACTGGAAATAGGTGACTTAAGCTTGAGACTGGTAGAAAAAGAGGCAGGGAACTCTTCCACACAAACATGCATCATCTTCAGAACAAATGTCTACAAATTGGCAATAGAAAAAACAACCACCCACAAAGATATTTTAGGAAGGTAGAAATCTCTTATTTTCATTTAAGAACAAACCAGACTATATTCACCTATAGGCTAATAATTTTCAAGATCAGATGACCATACATGTGTATGTATTAATTTGGGTTCTAGTACTATAAAAGTACATCATAATCAGGTTATTCTGAAGCATCTGAAATAGAACATGGTCTACTGAATAGTATCCTTTACTCACCATTTTAGCACATCTCACTACAGTTTATTAATCAATAGGATAGTAGCTTTAATACAGTTGGAGTTTTTATAGTGTCAGCTATAAAAAGCTATAGAATTCCTCAGAAAATTACACCGAAAGAGCTCTCTGAGTCCAAACACTTACCCACTGAGGACATGAATGCGTTCTGTATTATATTTCAGAGGTGTCAGTTCACAGCGTAGAACTTGAAGTGCCTCCAGGACCTTGCCATCCTCCAGGTATTCCAGGTACTTCTGCTGCAGCAGCAAAAACTTCATCCTCTGACATGACAGAAAGCAGCAGTCAGGGGAAAAAGGTTGACTGAAGTTTCAGAAAACGTTTGAGCCTAAACAGAACAGTAGAAACCATTCTACTATGCCCTTCAGAAATACAGCTATATGTAATGTTTCATTACTTAATTTCTTTTTGCTGGGTTTTCGACAACATTGCAGCAAATTATCCATGAATTTCCTTCCTGCCTTATGTGGCTACATGTATCCTCCTATATCATTTCTCAGATGCCCCTTCAACTTGTCTCATTTTCATATGCCATATTTTCAGCCACCATTCTTCAAACTCTGAACGAGACAGGCTTCCCCATCTTACATTCTATCAAGAAAAGCACCCAAAAGCAGCTCATCACATATTTAAGACTGCATGACAGCACAGAACACATCAGGCCAACTCAAGTTCTCATACTGCTTACATAGGAGCTGACATGGATTGTTTGCATAGCTGCATAACAGATAGCAATAACAAATTGACACTGCCTGAGGTTTTGTTTTGTAGTTCCACATTAAGTTGTTTTCATTGGGTGTTGTATTATTTTTCAGGATTACAGGAAAAAAAGTTTCCTGTATTTAGGAATCACTTCACTTCTCAGAAGTAATCACTGCTATTTCATAGTTTTCCTTTCACCTTGTACAGTTTTTGGTTGTTTTCTTTTAAAAAAATAATCAAGCCTGCTATTCTAACAACAAATGTCTGTGGATAAAAAAAAAGAAAATGAGGCATTCACTTACTATATTCAAAAACCTGAAGTCCTAGAAATTTCTAATAACAATTTATTAGAAACACGGTTTGGTTGTTTCTGGATGAAACCAACTATTCTGTGTTTGCACATCTTCTTTACTGCTAGCAGTTATCACAGAGAAAAGACATTTCTGGTCCACAAGACTCACCAGGTTAAAAAAGAAAATGTACATTCTTAGACACATCAGTGAGAAACAGAATGAAGATTAAGTGCAGCAAATCACATTTACTTTTCTAATGAATACACCACTAGTTCAATCACCAGCTTCCTTTGCTCTGTCAGACCTCAGGCACCTCACTATTTTCATGCTCATATTTGGTCAATGTTTACTCTGTTTCAAACACACTGCTAGCCTCCTTAAGCAGAAGGATAATTGGGAAGTTTAAGATGCTCCCATCCTATTAAAGTTTACATGAAAGTTTAAGGCTTACTATATGTAAAATCCAAAGTTAAAACATAAAGCAGTTTTAGCTTCCAGAGATGTTCTGTTCTTCAAAAGAATAGTTTCCACATACAGCGCTATTAACTTACCACACAGCTTTGTGAAGCATAAAACATTACATAGTAAAGATGATTTATGTTCAAATGTGTCTGTAGTACTCTGTTGTCCTGTACATGACAGGCAAACCCGTATTACATTCCCTATCCAGCTCTTCAGTTTATTTAAATTTGGAATTTAAGTTAGAGTATCACTGTACAGTTTTTCCAGGTGAGGCAACGTTTTTTGGTGTTCTGACATGCAGAAAACCAAAAGAAAGCTATCCCAACTATTTACAACCTCGGTGGTTGGTTCCATGCAGTAGGCCAGCAGACCTCAAGCTGTTTGCTTACATACTAGCAGCAGGAGGGATAAGAGCTTCCTCTCCCAGCTATGCACATGCTCACAAGGATGCATGGAGATGCTCAGATAGTAGTCACATATCATATTTCACTCCTCTTGGTCACCTCGCGCTGATTACGACCACCAGATAAAAAAATAGCATGATATTTCCAGTTTGTTATAAAAACTATAATCCCTCCAACCCTTCCTTCTCCATTCACTGCATATAATTTTTATCATCTTTCCCTTAAGTGTGATAACCATACCTGTATCTAATGACTCTTTCTCCCTCCCTGCTTTTAGGACTTGGCATGCTAATTGCATCTCTTCAGGGGGAAGAGTGAAAAAAAGAGCAGAAAACCCTAAAACACAGTTTTTGCAACACCAGTCCCAACAATTCCATGGAAGCATTACAGGAACACTACCATGCAGAGTGCTGTTGCCAAATTATCCGAAGAGGTATAACTTCAGTTTTGAGTTAGAAAATATAACTGCCAAAAAAAGTCACAGTGCCATGTGTGACTTTGGCATTTTAGGAACATAAAAGCCTCCAGAACAACACAGCGCTGTACACTTCATGCAGGAGTCTGCTGTTAACGTAATGGAGAATTAGAATAAGAGATAAGCAGTTTTAAATTGTAACTTATCTATAGCAAAAGGCAGGGACTAGAGTAAAGCGTTGATAGGGAAATTAAATTGGTTTTCTAAGCCACTTTTGAGTATGCTGTAGGGCAAGTTTTGGAGCAGTTATCGAACGATGGCATGAATACAGCCTCCTTAAGGCAGAAGTCACACTCCAGTGACATCATATTTCAAGTAATTTTTTGTATCAGAGCACTCTCAGCCTCCTACTACGTATTTCTGGGCAACTAGTGACTTTGACAAATAGATTTCACTGAACAACTGAATTTTGTTTTCATTTTCTCTCAATTACCTATATGCTTCACTAGTAGTACTGCTCATTACTTCCAATACCACCTTCTCATGGCAGACAAGACTATTTTGAGTACATTGCTTCATCTAGAGCCCAAACAACCTCTTCTAGAAGGAAGGAGAACTGTTTATGTATTGGCAACTGTAAAGTAAAAGCACAAGCCCCACTATTTAAGTAGAATAGAATGACTATAAAACTAATCTGACGCAATGCACCGACAAGAACAGCTTACTCATTCTCCATATTCTTTAGCTGCCTTACAAAGAAGGGAAATAAAAATTATCATAATCCAAATTATACCGTGTACAACATAATACAAGTTCCTGGGAATTGTTGTTATCTCAGTGTTTGCAATGGAAATTCAACATCATTACACTCCTTACTGTTGAACAATTTAAATCCAGACAGCACCACTGTTCAGCTTATGGCAAAGATTCTTCACCTTGTAGGACCCATGAAAGAGTCCAGTACAACAATTTCAGCACTGCACTATGGCTGGATTTGTTCAGTTATCACTACTTCATCCTGCCTTTCTACTCTATAGAGAGGATAAGGATAGAGTGCATTACCTTGTTGTTTCTAGAAGCTATTATTTAAGTGTAAGTTGAATCTCTGATCACCCTGGGGCAAAACTAAAGACAGAGTTAATAGGTTTTTGTTTGTTTTAACATATGTACTATCAGCATTTTGCTTTCTTCACACTACAGCGCTGATTACTAACATTAATGTTTAGTACTTCTTCATTGTCCTAACTGTTAGTACCAACGCCCCTTGCAGAATCTTAAATTCTAGGAAGTTCTGTATGCACCACAGTTCACCAGCGCTAAGTCACCAAAGGTGAAAGCCTTGGCAACACAACTGTGAAAATAATAGGACAAGCATCCTACCACTGTCAGGAAATTGGGCCATTTTGATCACTGGTTACAGCAGCAAATCTTCAGGAGTTTAAAAGAGTAAAATGCATAATAACCTAATTTCAGGATTATATTTTGGTGTTATTTTTGACCTGCATATCTTAACAAGCTCCACAACAGTTTTATTACTGTACTAAGAGTTCAAAATAAATAAGTAAACACTGCTGAAACAACTCTTCTTTGAAATGAAGTAACTAAAAGACATGCTGAAATGATCAGCTAATGTTTCAGGACAAACTTAATGCAGTAGCTATCTGCTTAAAGCCTGCAGAACTGAGACCCCAATTTTCATTACTTTGTCTTTAGCCTTTATTACTTTGATAGTCTTGTAAAACACTATAAAAGCACTTAAAAACCATCCAAAACTTAAATGTAAGATTTGATATGTAAAGGGTAGAAAATACTCTGGCCTATACAATTTAGGAAGGCTTCAACCACACCAAATCCTGCCACTTAAAGAGCAATTCATTCCAACAGGGAACTGCCCTTAATGCTGGTCGCAAGAGGGTCACCATACAGGCAGGTGGAGCACTTTGCTCAAATGGCAAGATATAAATCACTTTTTTGGTCATATTGCCTGCTGTGAGCTGTATACCTCAAGAACTGCAGGAAAGCCCCATTTAAGTACATGAAAATAAAAAGTGAAGAGGACAATTTGAAAGTGTATTCTAGATGACTACAGAGGAATAATCTCCAGGTTTCTTCCTAGTTACCCCAGATAGATGCCATAATATGCTTGAGTAGCCTTAAAGTAAGCAAAACTTCAGGCTGGCTTGAAGCTGATATTTACTAAGGGTTACTCAAGGAAAAACAATATGCTTCCATCTACTATAGTTTTCCTGCAGGTTGTCTCAAGACAGCTGTATCTTACATGCTGGAAAAGTAAACATGACATCACACACTATATAGCACTCAGGTGTTGACACAAATAGAAATAGCAGACTGTCATCCCCCCCAACATATCAACACACAGCAAAGGTTTACAAATTGAAATCAGCCATTTAATGTTTAGTGTTTTCACCTGTAGATCTTGAAGTACTTTGCAGAAGTAAGGAAATTAAAACAGGAGTAGAATTTTCAAAATACATGCATATCCTCTTCACTAACCAGACATCTCAAAAGCAGCAGTATATCCTGATTATTTTGTCCAGGTCATATTAACTATAAGGAAAAAAAAACACACCAAAAAACCCCAAACAAACCACCAAACACACACACCCTACTTTGTTAAATACTCTGTGTCATCTAAACTTCTAGGTACCCATTCTTCTTGTATGCACACATTTTTGAAACATCTAGTCATACAGTATGAGTCACAAGTCAGGAGTCAGGAAATCCAAAATCTAATTTTCTGGTGTTGAAGAGTTACCTGCAGCAGCATCTTGTTTGGACTTTCCCTAATCAAGACATTTATCACCTTTATTACCTCTGACTCTGTTGCAGGCAGGATTACCTACAGAGCATAAAGCATCCCTCCTTACCTGTTATGATCTTTCACTAGTTTGCTGGGTGCTGACTATACTAATACGCACCCATAATCTCAACCACGTACAAAAAAGTCAGGCGGGGAGGGAGGTGGAGACAGTGCACACATGATGGAGCACGCACAAGCTCAACTTACTCTTGCAAATCAGTATTGTCTTACTAACACACACACACACGACATTTAATAGTGTTATCTGTTTTAAATTATATGAAATTGATATAAAGCAGAATTTTAACAAAAATAATTAATATTTTGTTCAGGTAAAGTTCAATCTAAGCCAAGTATTTTTATTGCACCAAATTTTATTCAAGCAGTTAGACATCAACATTGAAGAACAGCATGCTTTCAGAGCCCTCCAAAACGAGAGAAGGAAAATGTCCCCTTTTTCCTCAAATTAAGTTCTCCGAAGTTGCAATGCTAATACTCAGTTAAACCCCTGACTTCCAGACATGTAAAACACTTCAATACTACTGAGAAATTTGGTAACTTCAGAAGTTAGAAACATGAGAAAATCTGCTTCAAATGGCCATTCATATTCACATACATTGGTTTCATACTTTCAGTCTCCACAAACTATCGAAAGCTGCATACAATATTCTAAACTATTTTAACAATAAATCTTATGTATATCAAGTCTTTGAGAAAAGAGAAAGTGAACTACTAGTCAAATCAAGAGGTGCTAAGCTTTGACCAAATTAATAGAACAGAAGGTAAACTTCTCTCAAGTACCCTCTGATGTTTTGTTAAACATCTGTTTTCCTACTTCACTTCCTGTTCTCTCTTTCTCTCCCTCCCCCACAAGACAGGAAATTGTCTTGACAACAAATGAATCAGCTAGAAGTGGAGCTAAGCAGCCATCAGCTGATTCTTCATTGTTTACAGTCACAGACACTTCAAAAAGCCTTGCTACTGTTTTCTTCCCAAGTGACCATAGTTGTTCTAACTTCATTTCATTAAAATAAGTTAAACACAAAAGGACAAGCCATTTGAAGAGCTAAGTAATGATTTTCATCTCAAGATAGAGAAATCAAACCAAGAAACACTTTCCTCCAAGTAACTGAAATCATAACAACACATATTGTAATTGTTGGTAAATCCCATGACTTGACCTTTTATTTCTAGGTTCATCTTTAAAAAACAGCCAGCCAAAGAGAAAAAGCTCTAAATAAAATCCCAAACAGCAATACAAATGCATTTGCTCTTTAGAAGCCATCTGGAAAAGCAACAGTATTGTTCATGGTCTATAGCAGCCTCTATATTCTTGTAACATGCTATTACAATGCCAACTCCACATTAGTATTACTGCATTTTATTTCTAAACTTCTCTTCCCTCAAGAAAACCTAACTCCCATAAACACAGATTGTGAGAAGTATTCCAAGTTCAACATTAGTATTCAACATAAGCAGTTTCTACAGAAACTGACCTATTTCAGGATTTATATTTTATCAGTCAAGTATGCTTAACAAAGTTTAAACATTCAGTACACCAAATATTAGCCTCAACACTTTCAAGCTTCCTACCTTACATTCTAAAAAAGAATTAAAGTTCAGATTAGTATGACGTTTGAGACAGCATGCAAGCCACTTAAAGTAAACAAAAAAGAAAACAAGAACTATGGACAACCAACTCCATAGTGGAAGATTACATCACTACAATTAGTCCAACTATACAGCTCTGAAAGAGTTCAAGTGTGCCTCTTACCACAATTGCATGCGGAGAATGCACTAAGGCCTTAAGTTCATTCAGGTCGTTCTCAGCCTGCAGAAATCAGCATAAGAAAAAAAAACACACAAACAAAAAAGTATATAAGGAGGGTGGATTTTGAATTCTCTCACAGATACTATAAATTTAAACAGTGGTTAATACAGTCCTATAAGCCCTACGTTACCTTATCCCATTCTCCTTCCATGACATGATTGCGGAATTTGGTAGCAGAAGGATGTTCTAAACGACATCCTGACTCTTGCATGAGAAGATCAACAGTCTGGCTGCAGGAGAGATACAGTGTAAAAAAACCCGACCAGTTTTACCCTCACAAATATACCGCCTGCCATGATAACAGTTAACCATATTTAAAAGTAACTTTTATCAAAGTAAGAATACTATGACCAGATTCAGATGTTTGTCCAAAAAGACTACCTCAGTTGCCTGAGACATGTAAACAGCTACCTATATCTAAAGCAAGTTGTCAATGAGCTTGAAAGCTTCACTGAAGTACCATCAAGTATGTGACTTACCAGTCACCACAAACAGCCATTCCTGCACAGAAGATAAACTTAATGAAGGAAGATACAGACTAGAAAGCTGTTAGCTACTGGCTACTATCCCCTGCCCTCTCCCTCCACCCCCAAAAAAAAGAACACAGAGAGCTCCTACATCTGCAACAGGCCTATCTTTTTCTTCTTCATCACATATTAAAAGACTGGCTCCTTAAAATAAAATAAACAAACTCATGAACCTGTAGCCCTCCCCCTTTTACACTAAAAATAGCTTATTTACTGCGGTGTCGTCTATGAACAGTCACGAGTTGTCTGTTGCTGTAAACTTGCCTCTTGTGTCAGAGGCAATTTATTTTATGTGCTAAGTTCTTTATAATTGACCCATTCCACAGTGTTTTGAAGTTGTCTTTTGTGGTAGCTACGTGAAGAATTTACAGGACTTCTCTAGCCTACTTCCAAAATTACAATATGTTGGCTTTAGCTTTACTCAAAGCAAGTGTTGTGATTAAATTCTTAGGCTTCCCCTACTCCATTGGGAGATTATTTTCCTTATTTCTGATTTTAAGAAAGAGACAACATACTCGTTTCTAGTCCACAGATAATGTTATTACGAAAAACATGTGTCCAGCACAGATCTGCAGAGGCCTTCAACATTTACAGGGACGAAGGTTTTCAGAGTGAAACCAAACAGCCTATTTAAGTGGCAGTTTAGTTTGTGCTCGCTTCCTCCAAGCTGACAAGCCAAATCTTGGAGCTCATCTGCAAAAAG